ACTTTTGACTTTATGTTTAGTTTTGATTGGTTTGACTAAGTAAGGAGTACTTCATTTGTTAGACTAAGTCTAATGTTGACTTAACGACAAGTGGAGGTTCTAGAATTTGGAAAGACACAAATAGCATATCGCCACCTCAATCTATGGATTAGTAAACATCTACAAGGTTTAGGAGGCCAATGAGATGTTGCCACATATTGAAAATTAGACAATCTTACTATGATTTATCTTTGTAAATGTAAGTTATATATAAATTATCATTTGTTACTATGTTAAATTTTCAAGTAGTTTATATATAGAGAGTTATGGAATAACCTCTCAAGCAAGTTTGAAGAGGTAATGTGTAAAGACTTGTTTCATATATGAAAGAGTGACAATTTTCAATACCTTTGAGTGTCGATGTGTGTGTGCGTGAGTGAGAGTTGGAGTGATACATTGAGAGATTGTATGAGTGGTTGTTTAGACTATGAGTATGAGGAGGAATCCTAGTCTTCTAGAACCATGATGAGCTACCGCAAAGCCATCTGAGATAAACCTGAGTGAGAATCAACCCGGAGGTTGCAATTCCTAATGATCACTTTAGAGTAGCGCATACTCTTTCTTGCAAAAAAGCTTCATAGTTTCTTCTTCTCATTTTGCTTCTTGATGATCTTCTTGCGACCATCCATCGGGTTCTCCTCGTCGTCATTGTCGTACGCGTCATCAAAGACGACAAGTTGCTTATTGTCGTGATAGAAGAGATCGCCCACAATGTCTTCCACAATCGATGAAGACAAGACAAACTCGTATATGTCTTTGTCCAGATTCATGTAGTGATGCAGGATGTTCGTCCGCTTGATAACCTCGTTTAAGAAGTACTTCTTCTCCTCATTCGACAACTCCTTGTACGCAATCCACAAGGCCGCATGATGCCACTCGTAATGACTACAATACTTAAACGTTGCAAAAATCTTCGTGAAATACTGAATGTTGATGCGATGCTTGCGCTTCCGCCCAGGAACTCCAACCTAGATCAATTCACGGCCCTCTTACACATCAAACAAGCATCGCACCGTGACACCGCCAGTGACATCTCTAGAGACCTCCTCGACAGCGTAGGTCAACTCATGAGACTTTTAGAAAGATGTCGTCTTCTTCTTGCTTGCCAGTATGATATTGGGGTGCTGAGGTGCAAATTGTTTTAGTTTTGAAACCACGGCAAACTTAACTTTGAGATTTTGATGTCTATTTTTAGAAATCTCAAGACTTATGAGTCATGACTATGAGACATCTTGTGGCGACACGTATCGATGATACCGGTGAGATTCCAGCGTGGTCACACTTACTGCGAAGTCAGAGGATTCATATGACCTACCAACTGTTTACTGTTAACAATAGGAGGAAAGCGCTTTGTGAACACAAAGCAACGGAGAAGGGATCTAAGCATCTGCCATTCGTTTGCAGATTTTACTCCGTATCGTTTACAAACTAAGCTTCTTGGGATCCCAAGGTATATGTGTTTGACTATGTGCGGATTGGATATACCATGATCTAAGCAATTACTTTAACAGGATGGAGATTACAATAGTATAGCCTGCCAAAAACTGAGATCTAAATATTCTCTTTCGAAGAGTATGAAGAAGTCTCGGCTAACTCCGTGCCAGCAGTCACGGTAAGATCAATGTTATTCCGAACTACTAGGCGAAAAGGGCACGTATGCGGTGAATTCCGCAAGTTGAGCTAGCGGAATGCTTTCAAAACCAATTTACTAGAGTAAGGCATAGAGGTAAGCAGAATTTTGTGTGTAGCGATAAAATGCAAAAATATACAAAGGAACGTCAAATGCAAAGGCAACTTTCTGGTTCTTTAATTTACGCTAAAGTGTAAAATCAAGGGGAGCAAACACGATTTAGATACCCCGATAGTCTATGCTGTTAACGATGAGTGTTTGTTCTTGGTCTACTGATATAGCTTTATGGCTTTGTATGCGCTTGGTGGAAAAAAGATGTTGAGCTTTTTGCTTAACATGGACTCCGGGTCCTTTTTCTTTTTCATTCTGCAATTTGGGTATAAAGCTATATGCTTCGCCCTAATTTTCACCCCACCAATGTATAGAAACAAAGAGAGAAAGCCATACAACATCAACAAAATGCTCATCTTTTCCCTTTAGCATTTGCGCGTAAAAATCGTGAAGCCATTTCCAGCCTGCGGAACCTTCTCTATCCACCATTTAGACCCATTCAAATTTATTTTTTTGCACCTTTAACTCTATCACTTGGAAGCTTTTCAAGATATCTAGGTCTTGGCACTATTGCTCGGCCTGTAGGTCCTGTAAGCATCTTGTCCTTATGCAGTTTGTAAACGGTATTTGCTATATTCCGAAGATCAAGAATTCTATTTATTTGTTGGAGGGCGGAGAACTTATTTTTGTCGTACATCACAAAACCAAAACAAAAGCCAATTATAACATCTACAACCTTTTAAGATAATCTGGCAAATCTTTGAACTCATTCATTGGATCCAAGTCCATTTGGTACTAAGAGTCTTCCATTCAAGGTGATAAAATGAACTAAAAACAATACTAAACTGATAGCTAGTAGCATAAACAAAGAGCAGTTGTTAATAAACAATACAAGTTTACTATATGAATAGGAATCAATTGAATAGAAGGTAGAGCTAGGATAACTAACTTGATATGCAATGCTCGTGTCTCGAGCAGAATTCTTTTGGATATGGACTGTATCAATAGAAGTATTTGACGCAAGTGTTAAATCACTTGAAACGGGCCTTATCGAAACACGATTCTCCGACCCAGAAATTGCCAGGCCTGTCAACGCCATTTGCCGACAGGGCAAAGGCCAAACTGTCCGAAACCTTGAGTCTTCAGTACCATATTATCTAGTCTATTTTGTAATCCTCACATTACTGATCTATATATGCTTTGAAATAACAATATGTGTCTAGTGACATTTAGTTTTATTGATGTAAAAAACATTTTTGTTGTAAAAATAGTGTGTACATGATGCAGTCTATAATATGAAATAGAATATTTGTGTAAAATGTGTGTATGAAAGAAAATTACATGCTCCATTAAGTTATAACAAATAGGGTTCTTAATGTAGATTAGTACTTCAGGAAGGAGTTGTAAACCATTTTGTATGCAATACGGTTTATTCAAGGGGATTCATGTGAATTATATATTTCCTAAATTTTTGACGTTACTACCTAATTAGTATTTAATTTTATGTTTTTACATTCCATTACTATCTGAAAGATTGTCATCTTTAAGGATATGGTCAATAAGTTGAGATGCAGCAAGGATACGAACAAACCAAAGCAAAGCATAATGCATACAAATCCTTAGATCCACCGCATTGTGTTCCTATACTGTGGAATATCACATCACAATAATCAATATTAATATCTTACCCAGATCTAATAGCTCTAATTAAATTTTAACAATAAATAATCCATAATATTATTTTAAAATAAAAAATAGCTATTTTTTCAATTTTATAATTATTGATAATAGTGTGTAACTCTTAATTTGAGTAATAATTCTTGCAATATACATAAATTTTGGTTTGTCATTTGTCATGGTTTGAAATTTATTTCCATGTATGATATAATAAAAATTCCATATTTGAATCATTGTTTAAATCAAAATTTTATTTCATTTTATATAAATATATTTTCATATTTTTATTTATTTATTTTTATTATCAGATATAATAAATTAATATTTTTAAATTTAAAAATATATTCGAATCAATGCGTCTATTAAAAATTTTAAAATTTGTCTTTAATTTGCAAAATATGAAACTTTTATTGACATTTTGTGATGAAAAAAAGATTTCAAAGCATTTATAGAATTGATATAAAAAAATTTATCACAACGTATTGATTGCATAATTACTGTGGCATGCTCGTGTCGACGTTATGGGAAGAACATCACCATCAGTGAAGTAGAAAAAAATCTGGAACTTAGCGGCCTGAACCATATGTGAACAAGATTTAGACCTAGGCGTTAACCTTGCAATCTACACTATAATGAAGTTACATTGTGGTGAAGAATTCTGAACTATAGCTGGAAATTATGATCTCGGGAGAGATCTGAGAACTATCTCCAGATCGTCATGGAATTGCAGTTAAAGAAAAGGGGGTCAAATGGATAGCGTTTCAAACTGCAGTTAAATAGCATCCATCAAGGGCTCCTTTTAACTGATGGATACACAAATGAAAAGAATAGTCTCAGATGGGAGCATCGCCCGAGGTCATGTTCCATCCACAGAAGGAAACTCCAGAGGCTTTGTGATAAACAGCAACTTTGCGTCTTCTATGGAGACAATGACGCCGTCTGACAGAAGCCAACGAATCATCAAAAGTGATACAATATTCAGGTACGCCTGTCTCTTGCAGATGTCGGTGCCGGCCGTTTTCCGTCAAGGGAGAAAAGAAAACGCAATTATTAAGCGATCTTACGCCCATCTCTGCTGCTACCTCAGAGTGACGCCGTGCGAAATTCTGGTTCTATGGGTCATGCTGTGGTTAACTAGCAGGCTCTCTCCGACGACGAGTACGCAGTCGTTATCGTCATGTCACGTGATGATGTGGCTCAAATGGAGTGCTGAGAACAGTACGGTACTAGCACAGACCTGTGAAAAGCTGGGCAAAGCTTCTTCAAAGTCCTGCAACTGCTACAACACTGCGTTTGGATAGTCTATCATTGAGCTCACGGCGTGGGGACAAGAAACACACAAGCAAGCCATATGTGAAGCTGCAACGAGCTGGCCAAGTACTTTTTATTCCATGAATATGCATTTTGTGCCCTGTGGTTGCATGAAGTTGCGGCATTGGTGCCAACAAATTCCAACAAATCAATTTTGGATTCGCTCGTGAACAACACAGCGAACCTGTTGAGTAATCTTATCGCTCTGAAAAGGTCAGATTGCGATCGTGAGTATGGCTAGGCCTGCATCACCAATTGTATATGCTAAGAATGCATGTATAGTATAAATGTAAAGGAGATGGGGTTTATTTTATTAACAGTGACAAGTGTTCAAAACCTGGCCTGGAATCCGAAGCTTACAGAGTGCACTCTCATACGTGAGTTGCATGACATCTCCAAAGCACGAGCACGTCAAATTGGATATATAAGAACTTCAGTTCTGGTCCAGCAGCAGTCATCGAGCCTTTGATTTTCGCAGCAGTCCACGAGTAGTCTTCAACACTAAATTTCGTGCAAGATGGACATTAGCAGATCTCTGTTGGGTTGCTGCCTGGTGCTGGCCTTTGCCGCTCAAATATCCCTCGCTCGTCAGTTGTCCGTTCAAGCCCACGCTAACGACCTGGTCTGGTCTCATGATCATTGGTTCAAGCTGTCCTTCAACACCAAGGCCTACTGTCTGGGCTGGATGAAAAATGTCGAAGCTAACAATATTAAGAACTGGGATCTCATTCCCTTGAACTGCTACAGCACCGTCAAGAAATACATGGAACAGGGTCAGTACTGGGTATGATCTCCGGCCTTCCTAACCCATTCTCTCTGCTCTGTGCTTCTTTGCTTTAGTTACAGGTCTGCGTTTTACTTTCCAAATCGTATATGCGAAATACAAGCAGCAATTTTTCGAAAATTTCGCTCTGAAATTTTCTTAATCTTGTAGGGATGCCTGAGTCGTTGAAGGCTTTGCACTTCATTCGCACTCATGTTGAAATGCAGATGGTCCTGCTCTTTCACATGCTGGGTAGCATAAGTCCGGCAAGCGTGGCAAGAAGCGTAGGCTTGTGGCCATGCAACTGCTAAAGATCTCCACGTTTATCCCAATCGAGATTGGCATAAACATCTTAGCTCAGATTTTCCATATCTATCTTGGGATCGCCACTGGTTTGTCAACTCATCAGAACTATGCGTTCTCTGAGCAAAGTGGTACTAAATAGTCAATTCAGTCAAGAATCGGGGAATTCCCCAGTTTGACTCGGACAAACTGTCGGGGTATAGTCTTTTCGACTGCAGTCCATTGTAGATACAAAACCATGCCTTCCTTTATGACGATTCTCTTGACTCCGAGGCAAACTATCGATGCGAAATTCTGCAAAATTTAGCTCAAAGACACTGGGAGCTCAATATCGAAACCAACGACAGGTGTGTGAGGTCGCTCAGAATATGTTGGGTGTCTTCTGCAGGTTGATTTGAGCGTTGCTGGCGACGCTGCATGGACCTACTTGAGTACCTTCAAAGCTGATGGGCATGATGCAGTCATGTTTGATATTGATGAGACTCTTCTGAGCACCTTAGAGTACCAAAGAGACATATCCGTCTACGGGTGAGGCTAATAACTGCTTTAATGTAAAGACGGGTTGACGTTCATATACAGCAGGATGTCATCTCGCGTGGAGGCGTCTGTTCTTTTTCCTTTTCTCCTTCAGACCTGCTTCGAAGTTCTTCAGTTGCCTTAGGGAAATCTCTTGTTGATGCTGAAATTGATGGCACTTCGATTGTCACCAGCCGATTGCTTATGCTTGAACTTCGATGTTTGCAGAACTACTCTGTTCAATAGCACAGCTTTCGATAGCTATGTAGCCCAAGGAATTTCCCCCGCGATTAAGTCATCTCTTGCTTTATATAATAAACTTAAAGATGCTGGTTTCAAGTTGGTCATCTGCACCGGAAGGAAAGAGCAGTTGCGAGCGGTGACAGAAAAGAACCTGCAAGCTGAAGGGTATACCGATTATACCGAGCTCGTTCTAAAGTAAGTCAAATCGAATGATTGCTTGAATGGATTTGGGTGATACCGATCTTTTTGGCACAAAAAAAATTTCAAAAACTTCTCGTATTCTAAATAATTTACGACGCAAGTGGATGCCGACCCCAAATATTCTGTTGAACGAAAATATAGCTCGAATTAGAGAGTAGCTAGCATCTGTCGCCAGATGCAGAATATGATTTTTGGAAAGAAATCTGTACAGTTTATAGGCTGACCATAAGCATACCATGTTCAGTTTAATGAAATGGACACTGGTTTTTTCTGATATATGACAGGACGGAAGAATACAACGGCTTGACAGCAGCAGTTTACAAGTCAATGGCAAGAGCGAAGCTGGTCAAAGAGAAGGGTTACGTCTTCAGGACCTGCGTTGGCGATCAGTTTAGTGATTGCGCAGGTGATGCCAAGGGCGAAGACACTTTCAAGTTCCCCAATCCGATGTACTACATAAAGTAAAGTCCAAGAGACGACCAAATTTCCTTAACTCCAGTTCCATGTCTCACCTTCAATAGGGTCAGACGTCATCCGGCAGTACTTCCTTTTAAGGTAGATACGTGAAGACTGACAAGAATGTTCATTTGTTGACCTCACACTACTGTGATGCAAAATAAATTTAAATTCGTTACTTTGACCATCATCTACCACACAATGAGACGTTCAAATACTAAGTTGTTATCCAGTATACAAAGCATTCCAGCTACATTCCGTTCTGAGCTTCAGGCAGAATACGGATTTGGATTACAATCTCAAAATTCTTAATTTGAGCAGGTTTAATGGAATGATTCGCCCAGAGTAACTTTTGAAGATAAGATGAAACGCGTAACTCAATAAAGTTTGGAACTCTGCGAAATCGTGAAGACATTAACAACTCTTTTATTAATGCGTAGTTCCTTTCGATGTGTTTACAGTTATTTCAGGTTCAAACAACACAAAATAAAATGCTTCGAGACCATTATGCTACGCTGTCAGATACCTACAGTCCTATGTATATGTATGGGGGAAAGAGAATATGATCTGTATATAAATCATAAGTCCAGGCTTGCATTTGTTCTAGAGCATTCAGTTATCTTGCAAAATCGAAATTTAAAACAGCTCGATAGTCAAATCAACACGTAGAAACGTGACATAGATGAGTGATTGCAAACAAGTGAGCAATCTCTTGAAAGATTCTAACTTGCAGGGAGTCTAAATGTCTCCGATGTAATTCGGAAGCGAAATACAGAGAAGACAAAAATAGCAAAGAGTCTTAGTAAATAGCAAAAATGTTGAGCGTCGGAGCAAAACTCAAAAGCATTAAAAGAATTGGAAACTTACGGTTATTTTCCCGTCGTACCACAATCTTTAATACGTCATGGAGTAGCTTACATGTTCATATTATCAAAGCAAAATTGTATGCAATCAAATTACCAACGAACTTATTTCTCTCCTTTATAAAAATGAAAACATTACAGTTGAAACAATCAGAACCCTTTATCTAACGTGATGATCGGTGTGATCGGCTGTTTGATTAACGTTTATATCTTGCATCAATAATTGAAAGTTGATGTTTATACATAGTACACATGAAAGAGTTTTCGAGTAATCACTCCTTCTGTTAAGTGTGGTAGGGCTTCATAACAGATCTTCTTTGGGACCAAGGTCACTCCGGCTATATATGGCTAAAGTAGCCAATTTTTCCGGTGCGTATATTAGACTTTGATTACAAATCTTGTTTGGATGTGAGGCTAATTACGATAGGAACCACAAACGTGTCCAAGTAGAAGTGTACGCTAAAAGTTAACATATTTATCATTTTAGCATTCTAGCTCTGTGGACAAATGTTTCAAAATTTTGTGAGAGAAATTTATACATGTCCATTCGGCGAACGTGTAGGGGGGGTTATTACAATAAAGGATATAAGTATAACTCTCTCTCTCCAGCTTATTACATAGGCTATTTTAGGCATTTTACACTAAAAACGCTTTACATGGTAGAAGTTTAAAAGTTAATTAATAGAACATAAGAAATTTCTATTATTTGGAAATAATTTAATATATTTGGTTTGGATATTTTAGGTGTTGTAAGTTGTTTTTCTCTTCAAGATACTATATTAGACAAGCTTCAAGATAGTATCGATGGACCAGCCAGGGTTTCTTGTTTCTTCTCTTTGTGCTTGATTGGGTCTTCCCATGGTTTTCCTATTCACATGCTATCCACTTCACCCATGTACCTATCGTCATTCAGATAGAAACTATACACATAAAGCTTTCTATAATTGATTCCACTGAACTACATTTTGAGATCTTGATTTTTGCAGAGATGAATAATATAGCCCGTTAAACAAGTGCAATTCGAGTCAGGGACAAACAAAAGTTTGATCAATACTTAGTAAGAACTTTTTCTCCCGTTGACATCCTTGTGTGTTCGAGTATTGTCCCAAATGTGGATTATCCAAAGTTGAAACAAGCAAATAGAAGTCACAGGACCAAAAGAATTCGAGATATTGCTAGATACGCGAAGGAAAATATGTGTGATCACTTGCAACATATCTCTTGTGGTCGTACACTCATATTGTAAACAATCAGTTTCGGCAATGACTAGAAAGAGAAGAGGCACAACATCAACGACGCGTTCTGTCTACAGCGCACATCTCATGTTAAACTTCTTCTTGATAGTTATTTGATTCCAAACGTAAGTATACCGGGATCCCTATCTGTTAGGAACAGGTCTACCTCTTATTGATCCAGGCACTGTGATTGTTACAGGCACTGCCCAAAATACGGCTGAGAAAAATGGGCATGTGTCCAATTGGTGAGTACTAATCCACACAATTAAATTCACCATCAAGATTTGCTTTTCAGGCGACTCCCATCCGATTAGTACGAACCTTTTCACCACACTGCTCTGATTTCCTCTCATTGTTCCAGGCTCCACGTACATGTCACACATGCACACTTCCGTTAAGATATATCATGATCTTTCCTCATCAGCAGCAACTTACAGAAGGATACACAAAAATGACAAAGTTCGGAGGCTATCAATTTGTTGCAGACTCCTCACCAACAACCACCTTATATGCATGCTACTTCGACCATTATTCAATATTCAGATGCCCTCCATTATCGCTTTTTCTTCCTGCTGATCAACGCTCAGAACATGTAAAATCGTAAGACAACAGTACAACACTGAGAGAAGACTGCAGCGTACTTCAGATCGGTGATACTATAAACTTCAGATGTTCCACTGTAGCTCCCTTGGAATTGCCCTTCAAATTTCTGGTAAAAGGAGATTCGGTCCTCATTCGCCCATAACCACGTGCGTGTGGAAAAAGATGAGAAAAGAGGATTGGAAGGAAAGAAAGAGTTCTGATGTCACTCGTCATTTAAAGCAGAGGTTGAAATTGTGTGCTGCCACACTGCTGAACCAAAAATGTAAAAATGCTTTTACCTCCAAGTGAATTCCATGACCAAAGCTTTCATTCACCGAGACCTTGACCAATTTTTCATATGTTAGCACATGAATCAATCAACATTTCATGGGTCTATTGTTCACTAATATCACGCTTCCGTCATTTGAAACAAATATTTCAAAACATTTCCAAGACATAACAACCAGTTCAAGCAGCAAGAGGATGAAACGCAAGTTATCTCTCACGTCAATATTTTGTTTTATTAGACCTGGTATCCAGCAACAACTTGATTACGTATCAGCAGGATCTGAAAGCTCGTCAGAATGATTTACCTTTAGAAACCATAAAACTAGCTTAAGGTACTTACAATTGCGTATAAATTTACATATGGTAAACACGATGGTCCGCAAAAATAATGACTTCAGTTCTACCAACCCGGGAAAACGTGATCATGTTCGTAACTTTCATCATCATTCTTCCTAAGCAAGGTAGATGAAATCCTAGCTCTTACTTTGAGCTGTTTTGAGTGTCTTTCTCAGACTTCTGCACGTATTTCTGCACAAAAAAAAGGAGAAAGCTGATGAGTTTCCGGAGTCACGAAATGAGTACGCGCTGCCCACGTCTAAGAATGACTGTGTAGGGCAAAATATGGGTTCAACAAGTGAACCAAGTGGAGGTTTTCAGATTATCATTTGTTACCCCCGTTTGTCACTGAAAAGCCAAAACCCCGTTCCGCGCAAGTTACTCATCGTGCGGAGCTTCTTTTTGTAGCAGATTTTTCATCCAACCAATCATATAGATGAACTTTCAGTTTCTAAAGACGATGCCAAACGATCCTATAAGTCAACTCTCGTCCAACAGACCTAAAATAAAAGGGGCAAAAAATATATATTTCCATAGCAGCCAACAGAGGAATTCGTGCGAAAGATCACTACGAAGACTGTAAACAGAGCAAACTAAAACCACACGCCTCAGGCCTGAAACTGTTAAAAAAAAAAAAATTCATTCCAGGAATGTTTGGCTAGGACATCTAACTTGCTTATCTCCAGATTTCAACTGCAGAAGAGAGTCAGGAGGTGGTGTCCGTGTCGGTGGATCAAAAGACTATGTACTCGCTTCAGGAGTCATGAAGGAGAAAAGCGAGGATTTGATTTTGCACATTGGTCAGAAGAAAGTAACAGTTAAAATAGATCGAAAGCTTAAAATCCACGAGCATCCCGAATGGACAGGATCAATATGTTAATTCGATACTGTCAAAAGACCTTCTGAAACTATTTGATTTAGCCGTGGTGGAAGAGGAATTGGAAAGGGAAACACCAAAGCTTCCGCCTCCAGCCTACATTTATCTATTATAAGCTAAACTTGAGAGATGTGAGACGAAAAAGTACTCCGGATCTTCAAAACCTATTGATACAAAAAAGGGCACTACAGCAAACTAAGATCCTCGAGGTCCAACCTAACTTGACAATTGGATCTAGTTACAAATCGAGGAGTTCGAGTAATTTTCAAACAGAGGACCTGGTGGAATTGAACATACTACAAAACGAGAGGTATAGATCTCAGACAACTCCTAAAAGACAAATTTGCCTGAAGGCACAGAAAGAAAACCAACAACGATCGTTGAAACCAACAGAAAGAGATAGGCAAAACAACAACAAAAAACGCATAACCTCGAATACCCAGATTGTCCACAAGAGAGGACTGAACATACCTCCCACAGCAAGGAGGCAGTAGTCGTAGCCGCGAAGACTCCACCGAGCATGATGATGGGGCCGGTGGCCAAACTCCATCTTGCCTGAATCATCGTGAATCAAAAGAACAGCCGATCGGTCGAACAACGAACGTGGATTTCACAGCGATATGGCTCAAATCCGATCAAAGCTCTGAGAAGCCTCGCACTTGACAAGTCCACAAACTCTGCAGTGAAACTGGAAAGTTTTTAGACAGTCCCCGAAGTCGGAACATGTCATTCATGAGCCCTGTGCTCTGCACGCGCCGCTTCCTGACGCAGCGTCAAAATCCGAGTCCACCGGCGATTCTTCCTACCAAGGACCGGTACCGGGTGATCAACAAACCCGTGGGCCCAACCATCGAGTCGCGGTTCATGTCCTGCTTACCCGTCCATCGTTTTGCTTTCGATTTGTCCAAATTATTAAATACTCGTTTGGAGAGTGGATATGGTTTTTTACTGCCATGTTCTATTTGTTATCTTGCGTGACGAAAATACATCACAAGGGATGATTATCATTAACGCTTTTCAAACCTTTCAACTAGAGTGAAATAGAATTATGTTTGGCTTGGGTTTATAACTTACAAATTATTTCATAAAGTAGTTTCAGATTGGTGATTTCTATCTTATTGATTGTTGATGCTTAAACTGCAAGTACATTTAAAGGGAAAATTTTTGCATATCAATATTCTTGGAGGCTTTTTCGATGAGAAATGTGAAAACCATATTATGCACTAGGTTTCAAATTTTTGAGCTAATTGTGTAATTAAAATGGAAAAATATGGTGTGATTATATTATTACATTGTGATAGTATTACAGAGATTAGATATTCAAATGAGAGTTCTTACTGTTGTTCATACAATGGTCACCTAGATGGTTTGGATGTATTGCTTTTATAATATGGGCTTATGTTACCCATAGAATTTCATTCATCCTTATAGGGTATCCCTAAACTCCATATTCCATTGTTTTCCATTGTTTTCTAGTATAGGGTTAGACCATTTATTGGAAAACAGATTATGTAGTCAACGTTTGCAGCTGATATTAAGCATATTGAGGACTCCCACTAGCAGAAGTGCGCCGGTATCACACGTATCGTGAAAGTGATAACAACACATCAAAATTACAATGCTCTAGATTAGGATAATAATAAATACGAGGAAATGGGCATGTAAAGCCAGAAAATATAAGCATAGTCAAGTTTCCGCATCCCTTGAAACCTCTCGGGGGTCGTCATTTGCACATGGGAGACTGCTGTCGAACACAGTCCGCGTCTTGAAACCTTAGTTATATCGTTACCCACACCGTATCTCAATAAGTGTGTATTGACTCAGTTACGTATCGTGTTTCGAAGCTTGAAGAATGGAATGATAGTTCAGTTCAATGAACTTTATCTATAAAAAAAAATACATATATGCTTCTACATTGGAGATCACTCTTGTAGAGCTTTCGTAATTAACATTCTGGAGATATTCCTATTTCCACATTGGATTTTATCGAGGTACACAGTAGGATGATTACCGCCTGATGTAGGTTGGATTCGAGCGTGGACTGGTTTGGTCAACATTGGGACATTTTTAGTCAGCTTCATGGGAATCGCGCTGCTTATATCCTGGAAACTTTCTTCAAGAGTTCATGGCGCCTTTTGAAAGTGTTGGGATGCGGTATGAGTCCAGAGCTTCTCTCATCGTCCGTTCTACACAATAGACAGTGACACTTGCGCGCCGAGCTTGGAGACTGACATCCTTATATAGGAATGTTGAGCTACTTCTAACAAAGCTATCGTGAAACCATCTTCGTAAGAATTTTAAAAGTAGTTTGTGGAACTAGTTATTCAGATAGTCATTCAGCAAGTGAATTTTGGATACTCTAGTATATCTCCTCAAACAACTTACATATTTCTTATGGTGTCTTATGCTTTAATAATTTTGAAAGATGTATCATGGGATTTTTTGTGATATCATCCTACCATGAACCTTTGAGTTTAGTGTGTAACACTTTAACTGTCGGGATAACATCTCTGTCTGGTGTGACAATATTGATCTTTTCCAATATCATGTAGAGTGCTAAATTTAATATCAATCAAGGAGATTGCAAGATGCACCATTTTTTTTCTAGTTCTTGAACAAAATCCTTGTTGGTCATTGTGAATTATTGTTCTAAATATGTGTTCTTCTTGTTTGTGATGGTACATATAAATATACCTCCCAAATGAACAATATGACGATGTTGATTAGTTTTGTAATTATTTACGATTTAAGTATATCTTCTCAATTTTAAAAAATTTATACAATATGCACTAGTATAAATTCCATGTGTTTATTATTTTAACTCTTAAATGATAGGAATTTTCTTATCTTATGTGGTTTGTCTTGAAGTATTTTTTTATTATCTTACATAAAATAAATCAATTAGCATTATACATGAAATAATTATCATGCTGTGTATGAAACCTTGGAAAAAAAATCTTGTGTAGATTATTTTATGTACCTGAATTGTTCTAAGATAGTTGATCAATAAGATCTAAGATCTTGTGTAATAAAGCTGTTTAAGTCTAATGCGGCTTGATGGTATCATTTCGTCTTTTTAATCATAAACTTAACTCATAACTCATTGCAAGAAAGATATAATTGTAAGATTGCTTGATCTTGATAAAATTATATAATGAAATCTATGTCAGAATGTCAGAATTTTTTTAAATCATAAATTTATTTAATATGATATATCAAATTATAAACTTAATCCAGTCAGAACAAAATGAACCAAATAAACATCATTGATTGCTAGAAATGTTGAAAATTGTAATGTTAATATTATCAGTTGATGCTCAATCTCAAATATTAAATATTCTTCTATACTTTAAATACATTTTATTCGATATTTTTATATATTTTTTGATCAGTTTTGATTTTTATCATGATTGAAGTTCTTTGATATTAAGATCGTGAATATCTTTGATAGTATTATAATGACAAAGATTTGTGTGTGTGTGTGATATGATATTTGAAACATTTCAAATAAAATATATTGTAGATGCGTTAAAACTAAAGTATGTATTATAAACAACATATATAATTAATTCATTTTAGTATTCTATGTATGTTTGAAAGTAAAAAAATATTTTAAAAGATTAATAATATAAAAAAACAATAATTTTAAACAAAAAATTAGGAAGCATATTTTTCCATATTTTAGAACTGAATTAATTAAAAAAAAACTCTGACTTTTTTATGTTAAGCATATATAATTTGTAGCTAAATCATAATATTGACTATGAAATGATGCTGACTTCGCAACAATTCCATTGAGAGTATGAAAAACAAAGTTGAATGCAATATTTTGACCTTCTAGAATCAATAATGTAATTGAAAAAAAAGTGTTATAAAACCGTAAATTTTCATATCTAGCATATCATGAACATGACGCATAAATACATGCACACAGAATATATTGATGAGCTAAAATTACCTTATGTCAACTTTTATTTAAACCTGAAAATTCTATAGTATCTTATCAATTTTTTTTATATATTTAACCCATATAGATATGAATATTTTTTTTAAATAAAAGCTCTTTTGAAATATAATTTATGCTTTGTTGACGTGAATTAAAAGAATTTACTTGTCAGCTAACAGTTCTATTATTCTTAAATAATTTATAAAATAAATAAATTTATCTGTATATGTATATTTAAATAAATATTTATCAAATAATAAATAAGGTATATGAGCTGTTTAAAATATACTTTATGGTTTGATATATGATAATTTGCTTTTGAAGTGCGTAATTATTTTTCATGACATAAGAGATTTATTGGATAAACTGCCGAATGATATGTTGTGAGCTTAAAATCTGATGTTATGATATTTTTAAATTTATATTAAAATTATAGAATACTTGAGTGATTATGTAATGTTACAAAAATATGTATGATTTAAAATTAAAAATATTAAATAATATTGTAATATTGTGATCTCGGTAAAATCTATTTATTTCTGTTGACAATATCAAAATTATAGAATGTAAATAAGAATTTTGAAAGAATGATATTGAGTAGGTATAATTTGAAAATGTATTTAAAGGGACTAAAATCAGTATAATCATTTCACATTCATCATCACGATGAAAATAAAACCATCATTTATTTTTTGTTATATTAATAAAAATTAAAAAATATATATATGTGATTTATAGAGATGTAACAAAATTTGCAAAAAAATGTAGATTTGCACTATATGTTAATTGATCATTTTAAATATTACACATGAAGGGAATGTGGGTGAGATCTTAGATTTGCAATCATATATTCACGTAGTTTTGCATCTATTAAATCTCATACAATTAGACATTGTGTGCAAAGCTTATAAATTATTTTCATTATTAGTTTTTTGTGTGTGGATTTGAAACGATTGTTGCATTTACGTTGTTGTATACGATGTAAGAGTTGGTAATTTCATTTTAATGAAAGTTATAAGATCATGATAGAGATATTTGGTACATACTTTTTATTATTTGTAAGGTTGTGAAAATGATCATATTAGTACTATGAGTGTTATATTAATTTTTTGATTTGGTAACATTGTTGTATTCCCTTGTGATTTAGCGTACATGATTTCTGTTAAATGATTGTTGGAGATTATTTTGAGGATGAGGGATGAAGTTGACTACGAATTCTTAAATGAACAATTGCTTTCCACTTATTCGGGGGATGTTAGAGATTCATGTCAACGAGTCATACAAGTTTAGCTAGGTTCGTATTGTCTTGTGATTTCAAAGTTTAAAAACCCTATAAATTTGGAAGTTATAGGATGATAAGTTTCATATATAATTTGAGGTTTGGAGGATATATCGGAAGAGATACATGTTGGCTGTGGGAATCAGAGTTAGGGTGAAATCAAAGGGGTTGACTGACTGCAATCAATGATAGTTGGCATTAAGATGTATAGTGGTAGAGTATTAGGTATCTTAGATTTGTAAGAATGCAAGTGACTTGGCACAGTTTATCAGATGGGAAAAAACAGTATTCTCGTATCGAGGAGATCAGATTAGGAACCAAATTCTGTACCGTACTCTAATAATGGTAAAAGACCAAGCCCGGGGGACCAAAGGCTGAACACAATGTTAATGGTTCCTTATTACATGAAAAAGCATAGACAAGACAGCTATGGAGAGCGAAACCGTGGTCGATGTTTCAAACGTGGTAGAGACAGCGGACTTACCACGTTAGGAGCCAAAGAGCGAAGTTCTGGTGAGTTCTCCTCACAAAGTTTCAGAAGCCGGATCTTCCCGCCGCTCTTCAGACATTTGTCCCTGCAGCACTCGCTCTCGTCTGCCCTCGAAGATCGACACATCGATTGCGAAGTTGTCTGCGCAGGCCGATTTGTGATACTTCCAGCGAGATCGGTGAGCATCGTCTGGGTTTTACGCTCTCGTCGTAGCAGAAACTTGCAAACATGCCAGGGGCGCAAGTTGTTCCGGGAGGCGGAGGTGGGAAAACTGAGAAGTATGTGGACAACAAGCGCAAGGATGATATCAGAATGGCGAACATTGCTGCCGGCAAGGCAGTCGCTGATGCCGTGAGGACTAGCTTGGGTCCCAGAGGTATGGATAAGATGCTGTCTACCGCCAATGGGGACGTTATCATCACCAACGACGGAGCCACCATCTTGAACAAGGTTCGTGCAAGAAATTTGTCATTGTTATCGTGCTTCCTTCCAAACGTGATTCCCCTAGATTCTTGTGAAGTCAAGGTTTTCGATGATATTCGATCTTCATCTAATGCAAACCATTGAGCGGAAGTGCTCTACTTTGTGCGAGATTTGCTTATGCTAGGACTGAGGGACGATTGAGGGTTGGGGTTTAGCTGGATCTTCGGTTTTCAGACATTTTTAGTTATTGTATGGCCCTTACGTAAGGACAGTACAGTCGCCCATATTTACAACGCAGTCCTTTTTCACATTGCGAGCAATTGCGATTTTAGTGTTTTCTTAGATTAGCATTTTCAACAGTTTTCAACGCCATGTAATTTGTAAGTTAAAACAGCCCTACTGAATTCGCCAATAAATTGTGGATCTTGAATTGCCCACGTAAACTGATTGTTTCAATGTCCATGCAGATGGAGGTCTTGCAACCCGCTGCTAAGATGCTCGTAGAGTTGTCCAAGTCACAGGATATTGTAGCAGGAGACGGAACAACAACAGGTATTAGAAAGTAGAGTCAGGTGTCACTGCGACTTGACTGGACAAAGTTCTTATATTTTTTTGGTAGGGTTATTTTTGGAATTTCCGGAGAGCTTAGGTTATTAGTTAGGGCTTAGTATGTTAAGCACCATGGCACCAAGTTTGTTGTACCTGCAGATTATGATGAATTTGAATGTGAAAGAGTGTAGTTGGAAGTTATTTGGGTTTGGCTTCCGTGCATTCAAAGTCCTTGCACGTAAACGAGAGCAAATCACAAGAAGTGGGGTTTTGATCTTGCAAAAAACTCACAGATTGTAACCTGGTGTCGCAGTTGTCGTCATTGCTGGAGCTCTTTTGAGACAGTGCCAAATTTTGTTGGGAATGGGAGTTCATCCGACAGTCATTTCGGATGCACTTCACAAAGCTTCAGAGAAAGCAGTCGAGGTACGTCAATTTTTTACTGCCATTTCCTTAGCTCTTTTCGTTAATGTACACCTAGTGTGAATCATAACTTGGTGGATCAAGATCCAGGTAGGGATCGAGCTAGGTGAGTCTTTTACCCTTGTTTCGATTGATCTAGACGGAATGTGGATGCTTTTTTACTTCAAATCTAACAACAATGTTTGTTGTGAACAGGTCCTGACTGCTATGGCCGTCCCCGTTGAACTTAGTGACCGTGAGTCCCTTGTTAAGAGTGCGAGCACATCATTGAATAGCAAGGTAAGATTTTGAGGGAAACGTTCACCCTTTAAGGTTTATCCCAGAGATGCTTTGTACGTGCTGCAAGCAGTTCTGTTGTGGACCTATTCTGTCTAGGCTAAGACTTGAAATGTACGGGAAATTTTTTGTTGGTCTGTAAGTTCACTGCAACTGTTTTGTGTCAAAGTGGAAATTAGAAATAGGTTTAGTGCGTCCTTAATGAGAACCAGCTGTAGCTTTTGCTACAGCCGGTTATTATTCAGTAGCGCAGCAGTCCTGTTTTCTTCACTCTGGTTCTCGCAGCAGTCTCTGTTGTGAGTCTCACTGGTATGCTTCGGAGTTAACCCCCATATCTGGGTCTCATGAGACACTAGCTTAGACTAGTTCTCAGTAATTGGCTCAAGGTTACAAAGCTCGAATCAGATTAGTGGTCGAAGTTCGAAGCTTGTGCTTAGAGTTTTACACTCAAGCATATACAGGTAGAAATTGCTGCAAATTTTTCTACCTTCGTCGTTCGCTCTTGGCTCTTGTTTGTTAATGCTTTGCCACTGCACTCCACGTGAAAACTTCCTGTGGCCATGTTTTGCTTTCAAGTTCGTAATGCATGCCCATTTTTCTTCTGACACTTTCAATTGATTATATCATGCAGGTGGTGAGTCAGTACTCGTCTCTACTAGCTCCCCTTGCCGTAGATGCTGTTCTTAATGTGATTGATCCTGCACGACCGAACTCGGTGGATTTGCGAGATGTGAAGGTGTTGAAGAAACTTGGAGGCACAGTAAGTGATCAAGAATTTTTGTATATGAAACTGGAATCTAGAGAAGATGTGTTTACCAGTGAAAACCCTCAGTATCATGAAGTTTCATGTTCGAAAACGCACGATAGTCCTGTTTGCCTGCTGTCTTTCAGTATGTTATCTCAGACGTGAAATGGCCTGGCAGTTTCTAAGCTTTGGTTTTTCTTGGCTTGTTCTTTTTTAGGTCGATGATACCGAAATGATCAAGGGACTGGTTTTTGACCACAAAGCTAGTCATACTGCCGGGGGTCCTACGCGTGTTGAGAATGCGAAGATTGGTCTTATTCAGTTTCAAGTCTCGCCTCCCAAGACGGACATAGAACAAAACGTTATTGTGTCCGACTATACACAGGTACATTTGTGATGACGCACTTGTGGCTACCTTTTTAATTTTGATATGACATTCAAGTGTTTGGAATCATGTGTAGGAGGGAAATCAGTTAGGACCGCGATCCTAAGCCAGTGCCAATGCCGATGTTTATTTTTGTATTTCAGATGGATCGAATCCTCAAGGAGGAGCGAAATTACATCTTAGGAATGATAAAGAAGATCAAGGCAACTGGTTGCAATGTTTTACTCGTACAAAAGAGTATATTACGAGATGCAGTTACGGATTTGTCTTTGCACTATCTCGCAAAGGCCAAGATCCTCGTGGTAAGGGATGTGGAGCGCGAGGACATTGAGTTTATTAGCAAGACTTTGAACTGTCTGCCCATCGCCAACATCGAGCACTTCCGAGCTGAAAAATTGGGCCAGGCTGATCTAGTGGAAGAAATACATGTTGGAAGCGGAAGCGTAAGTTCAAAGTGCATGCTGTCCTCTAATGTGGTTAGATCCTTTGTAATTTTGCACGGCACTTCTTACACTCGAATGAAGTAAGATGTGCATTTTATTTTATTGTTCTCTTTATGCTTCGTTTGACATAGAGCCAACTTCAAATACGCTTTTTTTTCTTATATTTCACTGATTGCTATTTGTCACAGTTCTTTGTATTCTGCCTTGCACAGAGTGAGACGGCTCACTAGTGCTCTTGTGCAGATTGTGAAAGCTACCGGCATAAAGAACATGGGACGGACAACAACAATTTTGGTCAAGGGCTCCAACGCTTTGGTAATACTTATGTTTTTTCTTATGTCGAATAGTATCGAACTTGTTTCCATTGTTAGCGCCGAGACTTGTGATTGGTCGTTTTCATCCATCAATCATCATGCAACTGCTATTTTGTTGGTTCAGCAAAGTGACAATTTCCTTGCTGCTCCTTCAAGTGGAGAGAAAACCCATAAGCTTAGCGTTCAATGCATCTTTGGGGTATATAAGGGATTTGCAATACATGTTATTTCATCAACCATCCTTCCTCAACGAGGAGACACGAAGCTGGAAGCTGGTCCCTCGTGCCCCTTCGATGGGGAAGATGGTTGCTTTTGACGAATCAAACAATTTTGATTCGGCAAAGACAACCACCGTGCCGAATCTTACTGTGTGTTGATTTGTTAACCATTGACCTCCGCTCACCGTTCTGTTGCAGGTTTTGGAGAGAAAACCCATAAGCTTAGCGTTCAATGCATCTTTGGGGTATATAAGGGATTTGCAATACATGTTATTTCATCAACCATCCTTCCTCAACGAGGGGACACGAAGCTGGTCCCTCGTGCCCCTTCGATGGGGAAGATGGTTGCTTTTGACGAATCAAACAATTTTGATTCGGCAAAGACAACCACCGTGCCGAATCTTACTGTGTGTCGATTTGTTAACCATTGACCTCCGCTCACCGTTCTGTTGCAGGTTTTGGATGAAGCCGAACGAAGTTTGCATGACGCGCTCTGTGTAGTAAGGTGTCTCGTCAACAAACGGTTTCTCATTGCAGGTACAACAAAGCATAAATTTGGAGCAGTTTACATGTTCAATTAAATTGCGATACTTCGGGAAGAATCTTTCATGCAGATTATAAAGTTTGTTAATATCTATTGGCAGCAGCCAATTTGTTTAACTTTTCACATGATCATCTGGAATTATTAGGAGGAGGTGCTCCGGAGATCGAGGTCTCACGACAATTAGGAGCTTGGGCTAAGACTCTGCACGGAATGGAAAGTTACTGTGTCCGTGCTTTTGCGGAGGCTCTGGAGGTAAGCGGTGTTCCTATCGTGGGCATGCTCTTAACAGTATGTGTTTGTGAAGAGTGCACTGCGAGTTTACATCATCACGATCGACTGTGCTATTGACCCTATGCCGAATCTCTTTTTAAACGCTTTAGATCTCGCACTTTCTTCAAATTTTTGGTCATAGCATGAAGGTAACAAACTGGATATTTTTGGTGCAGGTTGTACCATATACTCTAGCTGAGAATGCAGGCCTCAACCCAATATCTATCGTAACAGAATTGAGAAATCGTCATGCTAACGGAGAGGTGAGTCTCGCATCATCTTTTCAGTAAGAAATCTCGCGTTGTTGACTCCATGAAACGTTATACTGAGAGTAAGTGGCTTTGATCTCATCGTGCATTGCTGATTATATGCAGGTGAACACGGGCATCAATATACGCAAAGGACAGATCACGAACATCTTGGAGGAGAACGTTGTTCAGCCTCTTCTAGTCAGTACTAGTGCCATTTCTTTGGCAACTGAATGCGTGAGGATGATCCTCAAAATTGATGACATTGTTTCAACGAGGTAGAATTTAAAGTTTTAGACTGCTCATTTTAGGATTTTTGCCAGGCTCACATGCGGATGGGTGATTCGAACAGGACAAGGCAATCCACACAATTTCAATTTTAGATCTTCTTGTGTGGAATGAGCTTGGTTATTCTACAACCATCCACAAGGAGTTCTTGCGTCGGTGAAGTTGTGCTAGATTCAGTTGAGTTCAGTGAGCTGCAAATAGAAAGATGGCCCTCAAGGGAAGCTCTGTAATGTAATTTTTCGGATGTATTGTGAGCAATATTTCTTGATGAGTTCACAAAACTTGTCTTATGTTGTTCCGCTTTTGGTTTGGTTTGGGGATATCTCTCTTATGACTCTTCGAGTTGCCGCAGGTTTGGCTGTGTGCAAAGAATGATTAATATTCTCAATTGCGGATTTGTTGAAGTATAGTCAAGGTCTCTTGGATGTTTTCGATTCTCGCTTAAGTTCACTACTGAAGTGTAACGCATTTTGAACTGTTTTGGACCACTCCAACTGGTCAAGGTGGTGGGTCCTCTATGGACTCCTTTAGGTTTGTCGAATAAACAGTTTGCTGAAAAATGCCCGAAATACCGAAACTGGACATGATTTCTCAAATGCTGGTGTCAGTGTATTCTTCTTATCCGTCGGCAGACTGCTGGAATGGAAAGCTTTGATTGGTCAGTCTGACTAATCCCCTGCAAGTGGAGTATTGGTTGTACTGTATGTAAGGCTGGAAGTGTGCTGCGTAAGATGATGTTTTCCTATGGAGTTCCAAAGGAAGCACTTAGTCTCTGCATTTTTGTTATTAGTCAAACGGTTTAGAGAATCGGACTATCAGTAGAAGGTGGTTGAGCAAAAGAGAGGAACTTTCATGGGGAATATCTTCCAAGTGGAAGATGCGTTGAAAGATTTCCACCGGATTCGGGAAAGCTGCTTGTTCTGTAACCAATTTATCCACAATTTCGTAATATGATCAACCTCGATTTCCGAAACGTAAACGCCATACGCAAGCCCTCGCTGCACCAGATTTCCATAGACTGGATCGAAATCCTGCGCAACGAACTCCCGTCGAAACTCTGAGTTTTTATGGGTCAATGCGTCAGTTATCTTTAAGTCTTCGTCCTTCTTGACAGGACCTTGGAGTCAACAGGAGCGACTTTCCACTTCGACTGTTGCCTCAGGGTTCTACTCCATACCCGTACAATCCAAGCAAGTTTAATACTTCGTGGCTATCTTTGTGGTGCTTTTCAATAGTTCAATTCTAGTACCGTAGTTTTTTCGTGATGAATCACGCCTCTTCCAGACTGTTGTTTACACCTGTGTGGCGATTGCTATCAACTGCAGAGATCCGGTTTTTCTTCAGGCTGCATCCACGAGGGTTCCATGTCCACTCCCTATCCGAAGCCAAAACTTGCTACTAACGTGCAGGTACAGCTGGCACCTTAGCACACCCTTTATTTCTGTCATAGGCACGCTCTTGTTGGGTCCTCGTACTCGATCTTGCTATGAACATATATGCCGATGCAGCATGTACGACTACATGGACTACGAAGCCTCGTCCCTTTGGAATCACAGGATTGGTGAGAAGTATGCCTTCAGATCAGACGGAGTTTTCGAAGAGTTATACTCTTCAAGCCGACAGTTAAAAAATTGTCATCCGCTTTCTTCAGAATAGGACGGACCAGAAGAGGGCAGAGCAAAGAACAAACATCTTGTACATATCGTAGCGAAAGTGCTGCATGATCATAAAAGTTGCGTAACACAAATCAATGACTCAAAAGAAATGTGTAACGGAAAGGGAATGATAGGTATGTAGGTGGTTTCATGTGAAACTGGCGTCAGAGGGTACGAATGAAAATGATCGTGATGCTCCATGTGACTAAGTGAAAAGCGGAACATAGTGCCAGGGCCCAAATTTGTCCTTCGTTCCCTTTTTTGCGGCCCTACTTCGATCTGTCCTCCGTAGGATGGAGCAGACCAAATTCCCTTCATCTTACATGTTTCCTCACCTTCCAACCAGTCCAATACTGTACTACCAATCTTACCAGCCGGGGACAGTCCTTCAGGTGAAATGCCCGATCTCAGTCACCTGCACCTGCACATATCTGGAAGCGGTTACGATGAAGATGAAAGAGGACAGGTTTTGCATCATTGTCTTGCAACGTATTGTGGGGAAGTACATATTCTGTCACCAGCTCGAAGAATCTGAAGGATATGTTAGGTCCAAGGCCTCTGACACAGAAGACGAAAGTGTGACAGGGTCAGAAGGCACGAACGAACGTGAGTGTCACATGAAACTCGATACACGAGCTACTCTGGAATCATAGGTGGCCGGAAAGGTACCGGGTGCCAAAAACCTCACGCCAGTGAGAAATTGAACCTTCTCGGCAGAGATCTGAACCGAGGAGCTGCGATAAGCACACACATTCAAAGGGCATACGTGCCGCAAACGAGAAAATCACGGAGTTCCAACCGATAGAATATTAATTATACACGCAATGTGCAGATTCCCTATGTACAACATCAGCCTGATGTGGCCCGATACCTTTCTGTACAGGAGCAGATAGGAATGAGCACCGAGGTGCTCATCTATCTATCGTCCAGTGTCTACACTACGGCTCACCTAAGTTGACTAGTTCAAATCAATAAATTAGATATCTGTGAAGTGTTCTCGCTGTAAGTTTAGATATCTGTGAAGGATTGTTCTCCGAATTGTAAATCGTGTGCTCCAAAATTGTGCGAGGGTTGTCAACCCTCAGTGACCAACTAGCTACTGAACTATTCATCAAGCCCCATTCTCGAATAATCTCTCGTGGCAGTCTGCAACCCATGCTCGGATGACATCGGAGGGTACGGCATTCAGTTCGTCATGTCGTCGTGGAATGTTTCGGAATCTGATACAGTTCTGGCCGGAGCTGATGATGAGCGTTTGCGGGCAGAGAGTTATGTTCCCATAGCGCGAGGGATGTCTTCCAGCTCGCGCTCCGGGCACACCCAGCGACCTTCGGCAGTTTTCACCAGGCCCTTGTTCTTCTCCTGCCACCAGAAGGCCGGAATGTTGTACCGAGGGTCGAGGAAACTGGAGGACTTATTGACGAGAGCTTTGTCGCGGCGCCCGGAGGGAGTGAAGGGAGCTCCTGAGGCCACGAAGCCATCGAGCAGATGCAGATACACTTCGAGGTTGTGCACATTCAGCCGATCGAGAGGGCCCTTCTTGAGAAAAGGCGAGGCGCCATCGTCCAGCAGCAGGTCCACGCCCACATGCGTGTAGACCATGGGCAGAAGGTCGAGGAAGTCGTGCACGAGGTCGAGCCACATGCTGGCGCCCGGCGCAAAATGGCGCGGGTGCAGAAACTCGAGCTGCTCGTTAAAGATCACGCCGGGCACATACGGCACGAGGTCGTTCACGTTCGCGACGCGCAGCACCTTGACGCCGAGCTCCGTCACGCGATCCCGGAAGGCGTTGTTGCCCACGCGGGGCGACGCAAAGCTGTACACGGTGATGGGCACGAGGTCCTGGCGCGAGGAGTCGCGGCGGTTGATGCCCGACGCCGCGAGGTCGTAGGCATTCAAGGTGGCCAGCGCGCCGCCCTGGCTGTGCCCGGTCACGGTGATGCTGAGCTCCTCGGGCTCGTGCGCGTACCGCGCCACCAGCTCTCGCACGGCGGCCGTGACCTGCTCCCGCGCGCTGGTGCGGTTGTAGCGCGACCGGCCGTTCTTCGTCGCGTACATCTCCACGAAGGTATCCTCGACGCGCACCTGCGACGCCGGGTCGGACTCCGACCCGTCGGGATCAAGGCCCTTGGGGACGACGGCGTTCTGGTAATGCTCCATCCACTCGGTGCCGGTCACGGTGCCGCGCCACACCACGACGATGTCGCGGCGCCCGAGCCGCGCGATTTCGCGCGGCGACGTGCTTACGGCCACGAAGCCGATCCAGTTCGAGTCCTTGCTCCAGCGCTCGCCGTCCTCCACCAGCGGGCGCCGGTAGAGCTTGAGCAGGCGCTCGGTGGCCGTCGAGTGGATGTAGTGCGTGACCTCGTAGCCGCGGTTCGCCAACCGCGTCTTCTCCAGCAGGTTGCGCCGACTGTACTTGCAGCTGCCGCAGTACTTGGAGTGGGAGCTGCTGTCGAAGGCGTCGTAGGCCGCTTGCGCGAACTCCCCGTAGCGGATGGCCTCGCCGCGCACGGCCGGGTCGATCGGGTCCAGCAGGCCGGCCCAGTCGTCGCAGCCCTGAACCTCCCTCCACCGTGCCCCAATCGCGATGTCGTCGAACGGGTGCAGCAGCGGCTCCTCCAGCGCCCGTCCCCCCGCCGCCGCCGGCTCGTCCTCGTAGCGCAGGTCCTCGAGCTCGGCCGGCTGCCGGAGGAGTTTCAGCGCCTTGCCGCTGAGACGGTGCTTCCACAAGGCCACGGCGGGCTTTTGGCGGATCAGAGTGTCGGTGTTAATGTCCTCGCTTCTGATCGATGTGCGCAGCCTTCGCCTGCTGCTGCTTCGGGACTGCAATGCTGCTCCCATCAGACTCGTCGACGCCCCCAGCTCGGATGTTCGCCGTGGCCCGCTTCGAGGCGGTGGAGCGTGCGCCATCCCTGTCATGTGAACCAGGGCAGAGCTCGCGCTCGCCATCGCTGGCACCTTCTGATCTTTCGATCACGAGATCGCGCACTCTAAATTCGACTCGGTCCGGTGTCGCGCTCTGCTTCAATCTGTGGAACTCGAGAGACTCGCGAGTTGAAGATTTTGAGACAACCGATCATAATTCCTAGATCTGCCTAAGCAACTCTCCTCAAGCTTGCGACCTCCGTTCAAGCCAAGGCTCTCACGTCCACCTTCGAGAAACTGAGAAGAGACAAATGGATTCGACTGAGCGAAGCTTGAAGTGAGCGCTGCGCCGGTGCTCCTCAAAGAATTTGCAGCACCTGACAGCGACAAAAAGCTAAACACTAAAAGTAAACGAAGCACGAGAAAGTGCAGCGCCCGCTGTCAGTTGGCGATCAGCGGAGCACCTTTGAATGTCCAGACCTCAGAGAAACAATCACCCACCGGTGGATGCCAAATAGGTCTCGAGGTTGGACTCATAAATCCCTCGATCTAGATTTGATGGCCCAGACTCTGTAGATGGATGAGTGCCTGCGGGACCTCTTATAAACCTGGATCCTTGGGCCTCAGACACGAATTGCTGAAATACTGGTCTTTACGTGTTCTCCAGTCCCGTACGCGTTTAATGTGCTCGTCGGAACATAGTTCTCAGGTCAGAGTGCAGCCGAGTCAATGGCGAATGCCGAACTCGGTAGTACGACTGGGTAGCGACAAATTCAAAGCTCATCAGACTTCTTACATAAAGTCTCCATCCACCTTCGATAAACTGAGTCGCCAGCACGGTCCGGGCCCAGGACTATCTCCAGGCCCGGGTGCGACCCCTCCAATGGTGGACCACCATCGCAGACCAGTCTAGATACTCCGGTCAGAGCGAAGTGAGGGTCCAGTACTGCCGGCTGAACTTCACCTCGTTTCATCTTAGATTCTTGCCTTCTGCCATTCTCGACGGCTTAAAGCAACAGTCAATCCAAAATTGGATTAAACATTAAAGAACAAAGAGAACAGAGAATGATGCGCTTGCCCCTACTTCTGACACCGTTACATACAGTGGCGGTCTTTCACTACTACAGTGCCTACCGCACATTCTGACCAGACTGATCTCCGGTTGCATGGTGAATTGCACTTTGTCATCATGACTTTTTGACATTCGAAGAAAGGAGGATTTAGACTGGGGGTCATGCTTTCCTTTTCCAATTTATTGCGTGTCGAGGAGAGTAAATCACCCCGATTGTACCTTGCTGCCCTGACGAGCAGGTCATACAGCCTTAACCGGACTAGCCGAGATGTGATAAAGGATGTGTTGGACAGTGACGCTCTTCTACTCCTGGACATGGTGTATCGTCCAAAAAGTGAAATCGGTAATATACATGAAAATTTCAAGGTTGATTTACTTGGACAGGATCTCGGCATCCTTGACTGTAGGACCATTTGAATCACAACGCATTGTCACAGGAAGTTTGAAACCGTGGACATCGTCAAGTTTCCACTCATCCAGCTGTTTAACGAGACTTTCTGACGACATAACATGATTTATGAAGTTTTTGTGAATCAAGATTGTTCTATGATCACTCAGTAATCGACCACGGGAGGTAAAAACTTCTAATATTGTAGTTTACTGTATGGAGTTGATGTCTCATTCTATGCGTACTTAGGCACCTTAAGTCATGGACGGGTATAGGTGCTAAAATATAGCATCCAGCGTTGCCTTGGCCTGTGTGCTGGTGCTTGATCCCCATGAAGGCTGAACCGATCCTCCCCACGTTTCAAACAACATTCAAATTTATTGACCTTCCACTCTGTCCGCAAAATAGATCTACATCCTCAGGACATGTCTACCCATCCCTCTGTCAGTTTGTGCATATTAATAACTAGTTCACACTAAATCAGGTGCGCTATATCTTAATATACAAAATTGCGTAGCCATCACCATTGCAAAACCCTTATATAGAGTTCATCAGATTTACACTCCGGCGATTCTCATGTACCTCAGATTTTCGGAGATAAAATCTGCCAGAGACTATGCTTACCTAAGAAAGAGCTGCGAAACAAGACTCTCTCAACATGATCACGGATCTCGGATCACGAGGTTTCTCTCTGAATGAATGTGTGAAGACACAACTCACTATAGATTCTCCATGTTGAGTTCGCTTTGTCCATGAATATGTAGAACACAGGCTAATCTCATCCTTTTTCCAAGATCTAATTGGTTCCCATTTACTTGAGTACAGAACAGAACATGAATGTTTTGTCTAATCTGACCGGGGCACCGTAGTCTGCTGAGGTCGTCAACTGAGGGAACAATTGTCGTCGAGTGGGCCCTCTCAGACACAGTTACAACCGTCGTGGCGGCATGGAAGGGGCCCGAGTGGCTGCGCAAGAGAATGGGACAAAAGTCGTTCAACGATTGAACCAGCATCGTTCGCTCACAGGTTTCCTGGGTTTTGTTGTCTAGAACGACTTCGGGATCGAATCCCCGAGAAGGAATCTTGAACTCAAGACGCATGCAAGTCTCACCTCGACATCCAGCACAATTCTCTGGGCATTCTTCGACAGCGCAGCGAGTGCATCCCTCTTGGACTCCCGTCCGACTCGGAGAGCACAGCCCCCTATCTCTGGTTGACTAGGGCCTGCTGATAAAGCTAACAACGCCGGAAGTACAGTCTTGACTGATTTGACTGTTGAATGTTCCTTGTGGACTCGCTCTGTAGCAGATTTCTGCAAGACTCGAGCGTCATGTGCTTGGATCATTTCCAGCCTGGATGTATGAGCTCTGACCTTATTCGCCCACTTCCAGTCCACCGCTTCATGTACTGAAGTCGTAGGGCATGCGAATTAAGAGATTTGTAACCCCGCCAGACAATTGTAATGGCTTGGATTGAACATTAGAACGTTCGGTCGAGACTTATATTATGCTATTATATACTCTATGCTTATATATTTCATATTACATATTGTATGTTCGTTGTCTATTTGAAGCATGTAAAATGAGAGACTGGATCCTGGATCCAATCAGATACCTTGGTCTTAACCTCACCGAGAGTTGCTGTTGTCTTCTGATCTTTGAACCTTACCATCCCGTTACAACTTCAAAACAAAGATGATGCTGAATTCGTGTCACAAGACTGGGCGTTGGATGATATTCATGACTAAAGTTTTCTTGTAGTTTCTTCTTGGCACTCTCAGATTCTAACAATTCTCTAATCTACGGAAGAGAGTGGGCAAATTGAGACTTATTGTTGCCACCCACATTTTATGATTATGCATGTCAACTCGCTTATACTATTGAATAAATTGGATTCGGTAGACACAAAGACAATAAGGCATCACACCAATCAATCGAATGACAGACATATATATCTTGCTTTATGTTAGAAGATGAGTTGGATCATTGGAGCAAGTTGTTTGATATATTCAAGCCATTGTAGTATATAGCCTTTGAAGAGTTTGAATTTTTTTGCACATTGATTATTTATACAAAATATAACTTTGAAAATAAATTCTGTAAAAGATCAAAAGAAAGAAAACAATACAAATTATAGAATACAAATGGTATTATCTGCTAATGAGGAGTTTGAAGATTTTAGTACATTGAAGTATGATACAATATTGATAGAGTCTAATCTTAACAATTTTTTGATAATTTATTTGATACTAATGCAAAATTATGAAATTTGAAAAAAATTCAAATTCAAAATATGTTCACTAAAGCTACCAAAAACCAAACCAACCAAAGAGTTCATCAATTGATTTCTTCATCTTTCTTGATGAGTTTAAGAAATCATTTAAGAAATATCATTTTGAATCAAAGTTGTTGCCTTGGTTGGCAAAGCCAGAAGACTGAAATTGAAAGACATGTCTGAAGTCCAAAAAACTTCATACATTAACAAGTCTCAAGAGAAAAAACAAGATAACAATAAATCTATGTCAACTTACAACAAGCAAAAGCATGATGATGAAGAGTACGATGAGAGAACAGGTGAAAAATCTACTAAGGCTGTTGTGAAAGACGCTAAGTCAAACAATCAATGACAGTTCAAGAAGGTCACAAAAGATGCCAAAAGCCAAAATAATCAAAGAGATTGTCAATTGACTTCTTCATCTTTCTTGATGACTTCATGAATTTGTTTAAGGAAGATCATCTTGAGGTGAAACATGTCGCGTCGTGATTGGCAAAGCTGGAAGAGAGAATTGGAAAGACATGTTTGAATTTGAGAAGGCTTACTCCGTTGACAAGACTCAAAAGAAGAAGGAAGAGTACAATAAGTCTATGTCAACTTACAACAAGCAAAAGTAGGACAATGAAGAGAATGACGAGAAAACATCTAGGAAACTGAAGTTAACAGCATAGAGTTTAGGATATAGAAAAATAAAAAGACATGTTTGAATTAGAGAAGGTTTCCTACATTAATTATGAGAATTGGAAAGACATGTCTGAATTCAAGAAGTCTTACTCCGATGACAAGACTCAAAAGAAGAAGCAAGAGTACGATAAATTTATGTCAACTTACAACAAACAAAAACAAGATGACAAATGAACAATTGAAAAATTGATTGAGGTTTTTGGTTTTAGAGTTTAGGAAAATACAAAAAATGTTTGAATTTGAAAAAACTTCCTACAAGCCTAGTAGAAGAAGCAAGAGTATAATAGGTCTATATCAACTTGCAACAAGCAAAAGCAGATGAATGAAAATAACGACAACGGAACACTTGAAAATCAAGTGAGTCTATTATGAAAGATGCAAAGTCAAAGTAGCAATATAAGTACATGAAAGGTACCAAAAACTGAATCAACCAAAGAGTTCACCAACTGAGTTCTTCATCTTTTTGTATAAGTTAAAGAAGTTGTTAAAAAAAGATGATTTTGAGTAAAAGTATGTTGACATGATTTGCAAAGCTTGAGGAGAAAAACAAATAGACATGTCTAAATTCAAGAAGTCTCACTTCATTGATAAGTCTAAACAGAAGTATCAAGAGTACGATAAATCTATATCAACTTACAACAAGCAGAAGCAAGACAATGAAAAAAAAAACATGGTAACATTTTACTAATTGAGTAAAACAGTTATAAAAGATTAAATCAACTTACAACAAGCAAAATCAAGATGATGAAAAGAACAACAAGGTAACATCTTATTAATCGAGTAAGGCAGTTATAAAATCAAAGAAGCAACAAAAGTCCAAAAGCAAAAGCTGCTACCAATAGCAAAAGAGATCATCATGTCTTCATCTTTTTTGATGAGTTCAAAAGTTGTATAAGGAAAAGCATCTTGAGGCAAAGGGTGTCGTTGTGGTTGGCAAAGTCGGAGAAGAGACATCTTCAAATTCGAGAAGTCTTCCTCGATTGACAATGCTTAACCAAAGAAGTAAAAGTATGATAAGTCTGTGTAAGCTTACAACAAGAAAAAACATGATAATGAAAAGAACGACAAGAAAACATATCACAAATTGAGTAAGATTACCATGAAAAACACAAAGTCAAAGAAGCAACGGAAGTAAAAAATGTCATCAAAGCTAAGGAGAATCAAACCAATCAAAGAGTTATCTAATTGACTTCTTCATCTTTCTCGATGATTTGAAGAAGTTATTTTAGAAGACCATCTTGAGTCAAAGGCTGTTGAT